TATATAAAGCTGGTTGTTGTGTGTTTAAAACGTATTCAGTTTTACAATTACAGAAATCTGATCTGTTTCAGTTATACAAATATGCATCACATTAAGTTTCTTAGGTTGTTAAAAGTGTGTAATTCAAACGGATGGAAGATTTATATGCAATTCAAATACATCAATCTAAAACTTGGGCCTAAATACTTGTTAGTCGTTTTATTCTGTGGTTGTTTTTTTCTTGCATTAGTACTTGAGTAAAGTATGTTTCAGACTGGGTTCATTCCACTAACCTGAACAACCTCACTGATTTTCCACTGTGTTAACCAGGCAACTAACACTTGACCACTGTTAACTTCACTGTATCTGTGGTATTTAATGAAATTAGGAGTTATATTTGAGTAAAATGATTATTGAACACATTTATACTGATGTTTCTCCATGACAGTATTGTTCACGGTGCATGAAGCTCAATTTTGAAGCAGTAGTTTACCCAAAAATAAATATTTGCTACTCTCCCTCAGGCCATCCAAGATTAGGATGAGTTTGTTTCTTTATCAGATTTGGAGAAATGCAGCATTACATCACTTTCTCATCAATGGATCCTCTGCAGTGAATGGGTGCCGTCAGAATGAGAGTCCAAACAGCTGATAAAAACATCACAATAATCCAAAATGCTCCAATCTATCAGTTAACATCTTGAGAAGCCAAGACAAATCCATCATCAAATTGTTGCATGCAGCTTAAATATGACTCAATCCATAATAACGCTTCCTCCAATGAAAAAGTGCATCTCCTGTTGTCTCTCACATCATCTCTCACATGTTTGTTTAGAGCTGTTTTGGCTTGTAAACGGTGCATTATCTGTGCAGATTTCTCTCCTGATTCAGACCAGACCACTTCTTCACTGTAGGAAGCGTTATTATGGATTATGGACTCATATTTTAGTTAAAAACGTCTTAATGATGGATTAGTTTCAGCTTTTGTCTTCTCCAGATGTTAACTGATGGACTGGAGTGCTGTGGATTATTGTGATGTTCACAATATCAGCTGTTTGGACTCTCATTCTGACGGCACCCATTCACATCCATTGGTGAGCAAGTGATGCAATGCTACATTTCTCCAAATCTGATGAAGAAACAAACTCATCATAATCTCGGATGGCCTGAGAGTGAGTACATTTTAAACAAATTTTAATTTTGGGGTGAACTGTTGTTTTAAATGAATACACACACATGTAATGACTAGCAGGTTGTTACGTGCGTGCTGTTTAACATGTTTAATGTTCTGTACAGATGTTAGTTTTCATTGGCGGGTGTACAGATGTCACTCATCTACACGCCAAGCTGTTGTTCATGTTCACGAGTCTTGTCTCGCTCTGGAGAGACGCTGCGTGTCAGAGTGAAATCAACTGTGTTTGTTGTTGAAAATGGAATAAATGTGTCTACAGACGTTTATAAGTGCTTTGTCTGTCTGTTTGTTCTGGTGCTGATACTTACTTACAGTAAAAGTTTTACACTTAAATGTTGAAATTTTGTACATTCATGTGAGATGAACAATCTAGAAAATAATTATTCTTTCTACTCATCATCTACTCAGTCTTTCTGATGCTGGTAAAATACTTCCAACTATTAATAACAAGATGCATCAGGGATGCACAATATATAGTCATGCTGGTTACTGATTAATCAATCAGCTTTGCTAGACATTTACTATTACAGGCCAAATTATTTTATTATTATTATTTTTTTAATAATCTGTATTAGCACATATTTAATACATTGGGCAACTTTTTAAATGGATGTTTTTATTTATTTAGATATTGGCAGATATTTGACATTTTGTGCAATATTTACTTTTTAATTGATATTGGCAGATATTTCATATTTGGGCAATATTTAAGGCTTCAGTCATATATCTCTTTCATTGTTTCATTTTCATCAGTCTTTATGGCTAAAAATGCTAATGACATCATCCTGCCCTGCACAGATTTTCATCCAATCAGAATCTCTCTAAGAATGTACTTCCTCTTGCAACAGACAAGCCGTAGCAATTAGCATATTCGGAGTCATGTGACTATAAAGTCTCAAAAATGAAATAAAAAATGAAGGTGCCAATATAGTCGAATCAAAATGGTGAAATCAAAACATTGGCCTTTCTGCAGAGCGCCGTGTTTTCTAAATGTCTGTATTTTGGACTCAAACTCCTGGAGTTTGTGCTCTTCATGTGAATGTGCATCTGTTGATGTGGACACACTCTTCTCTCTCGTTCACATGCAGTGAGTGGATCTGTGGATCAGTGTTTGTATATGATGTGTGTGGAAAATCTGGACTGATTTTATACAACAGCATCCTGAAATACAAGCCTTAATCCTCCAAACTGGACTCAGTTACAGGATTCCTCTCAGAAATCAGGTTTACATCCATTATCTTTATAATATTAACACTTTAATTTATTTGCCTACTATTTTTTAACCATAGTGCAGCAGTATGTAGTATGCAGTGCTGAGCATTTCAAACAGTACGTCTGACAAGGAGACAAACGAGGTTTAATTTTTATTGCTGACAGAATTAACACTAGATTCAGGACAAGACAAAAACACGGTTTGGAAAATGGATTATTGGTGTACTCGCTTGTTATATACATTTTGAACACAAAAAAGTTACGGACTGCAGCTTTAAATTTTAAAGTTAAATGTGGCATTGCATTGTGAGATGCTGTATTTCAGTAACACTTCCATGTTACTATTTCTGCAGAATACACACAGTATGCATATTTTCAGTATGCACAGAAAAACGTGCATTTGATGAATGAAATGGAACTTTCTTTCTTTTCCTTTTTGTTTTTGCTTTTCTTAAATTAAAATTTTCCAATCTATCGGTTTCTATTGGCAGATGTTTGATATTTCGGGTCAATATTTATTTAGTTTTCTGTATTAGCAGCTATTTGATAGATTTACTTTATTATATTAATTCATTTGTTTGTTTGTATTGTCAGATAATCATTTGCATAAACTAATAGACATAACCTGTGTCTGAATGTATGATGAATGGTGTTAATCTGTTCAATTATTATTATTTTCTGCTGCTTTGTCATCTGAGTACAGGCGGCTCTCATGTCTCAGTGTCCGAGGCTTGATGCAGTGAATGTCTTGTAAACGCTGCTCTCTGCTGGACAGAAGCTCGTCCTCTGTGAATATCAAATATATGAATATCTGCCTTTGAATCATGATGATGAGTGCTATTCTGTGTCAAAAGAGACCGATCCTGCCTCACTCACACACTGTCCTCTGAAACCTTCAGCGCTGCTTCATTAGTCCTCTCTAACGAGGGGAGAAACTTCTTCATGTCAGACACATTTCAGAATTAATTAATATATTTTATTTGTAGTAGATCATACAAAACATTAAATATTTACGCGGATGAAATGTCACATTTTAACTCAGTATTACATTGTATATTATGATTTAAAAAAAAATATTAAAAGAAATAAAAAAACTGTAATCTGCACAGCAGGTTAATTATAGAATTGAGCTTCCATTTGTGGAAATGAAAATCCCATTTTGGGTTTTCATGGTCCAGTCTGTAGTTGTGAAAACTTATATTTTTTTTGTGTGGAACATATAATTTACAAATACTTCTTTTTAAAAATAAAAAAACCCCAAACAAAACAAAAAAAATATGCTTTTGCATATAATCTTTCCACATTTCATGTTTCATATTTCATAGCAATTTATTTGTTAACAGGTGTGATGATCAGTGGTTTTGAGTTTTTACCTCCATCATTAACGCATGGGCTAAAACACGGATAGAGTTTCTCAGTGAAAGTCTGACCAGTGAAAGAATAGATATGAGATCTGGAGCCCACGTCATAAAAAGAGACCAGACCCTCCTCATAATCCACAAACACTCCCACAATCTCAGGTTTCACTCTCAGAGATAAAGAGACAGGTGAATTTTCACAAGCTTTATACTGATTCTCATTCCTCAGCCACACAGCCCAGAATCCATTTACTGGAGAATAAATTAATTTACCCTTCCTGTTAATGGATTCTCTGGCCACTCCTAAAGTCCACCCAGTCTTTCCCTTCACCTGCACCTCATAGTAAAATCTGCCTGAACTGAATCCTTGCTTTGCCAGAACAGAAACAACATAATCAAATCTCTTTGGGTTTTTTGGGACGTCCTGCTTAATGTCTCCATGACTGACTTGTTTTCCATCATCAGACAGGATGAGATATGGATGCGCTGTATCAGGATCCAGAGTCACATCCACTAGATGAGAGATCAGACAGTATCAATCAACTTCAGAACAAATATTTTCATATAATACAGATTATAAAATGTACTGAAGAAAATGGTGTCAGTCACTCTGTACCTGCAAACTTCTGTAGACACTTCAACCCTGTGGACACAGATGACAATATAATGATTAATTATTTATTGTAATATTTCATGTCAACATTGAGCATCAGCATGTAAATGTTGCTCACCCATCAGTTTATAAAACAATGTAAGAGATTGTGTTATTTAAGCTGCAATATTCTGAATCGTCATTGTGAGGTGGGAAATGTTTTCAGACTGATTAATTTTAGTCAGATTTCTTGTTACTGTATGTGTTACTGATGTAATTCCTGTGAGTGCAGTTTGTACAGGTATGTTAATACTTACATTATATGTATTACATGTTGCTTTAGTTAAAGTTTGGATAGATCTTCACATAAGAAATCTGTTCACTATATTTGATATTCACATACCAGTCTGACCAATTTTATTTAGTCTCCCATCTAGAGTTTTCTCCAGCTGAATCAGAGCTCTATTCATTGAATACACATTCACATCAGAGTCAATCCTGATCTCAGTCCAGTTCTTGATGTGTGGACGACTGCACAGAGATGAGTACATCTACAGCAGGAGAGAGAAGATGATTAAATATGATCATGTGCAGGAGCTTTCTAACACAGTTAACTCATTTTTCTAATTTGACTTTATTACAGTTTCATTCTCTTTTGCACAGTTTCTGAAGACAGCAGCTCATCAGGTTTGTCAGCAGAGCATATGAACAATAATATTCTGCATTCTCAGTGATGAGACAGATGTTGACAGACCTGTAGGAGGTGCAGATGATCGTCAGTGTGTGAGAGCTGCTCCAGCTCAGTGTTTCTCTTCTTCAGATCAGAGATTTCCTGCTGCAGCTCTTTAATGAGATCTTCAGCCTGTTTCTCTGCTGCTTTCTGCTGTTCCTCCATCATCTTCAGCAGCTCAGACTGACATCTCTCAATGGAGCGGATCAGATCAGTGAAGAGCTGATTTCTGGCTGATTTCTCTTCCTCTGTGTTCCTCTGATCAATGAGATCAATTAACAATTATTTTCACTCAGATGTACGTCACAATAAGGAAGCAAAGACAATCACAACTTCTGTTTCATGACACCAGGTGAAAACAAAGTGCAGTAAAATACACTTTTTTTACTTACACTTCAATAATGTACTTAAAGTGCTCTATTTTCACACACTAATTTTGTACTTTATATACTAAAAATATTCTTTAGTACTTCTTAAGATAATCTAGTGTACTCAACTGTGCTATTTTGGGACACCTTAATTATTAACTAAAATGTGCTTTTAACATATTTTCTCTGTTTTCTCTTTATTTAGTTACCAGTACAACTGAAACCATCTTTCATACACTTAAATATACTCATCATACATAGAAAATACACTTATAAATTATTTAAAATATAATAATAATAGGCTATATAATGCATATACACAAAATGTATTTATAATGTATTGCCCACATATTTTTTATAGATTATATAATTAATTTCAAATGTATTGTAATTATGTTAACATTCCCTTTATATGATATTTAACTACATGTTTGGTGTCTTTAAATAGTACAATCAAGTACACTATTACTATGTCATTAGTAGCACTTTCTTCCACATTAAAAAATATAGCACTTTAAGTACTTTATGCTAAAAGTATACTTTCTGTTAAACTGTGAATTTTGTTTCACAACTGTTAGAAAACACTCTGTCTTTCTGTTGAGTCCAGACATGTCTTACCCCTCCTTTTTCTCCCTCTCTCTCATTCTTATATATACAACGCATTCTTTCTGAATCCCTCCTTCTGTATCCATCTCTCTCTCTTGATATTATGTCTTAAATATGTCTTACTTATATGCGAAGTATGCATGCTTAAATGTATACATTAGCTTCTCTTGGTTCAAATGCCCCAATAAGGACATGAATGTTAGGACTACAAGGGTAAAGGAGTTCGAGAGAAACTCTGAAGACAGTTCAGCATTCTTCGCAAAAGTCTATTCCTAATATGTCCATGTTTTTCTGTACATGTGGCCATTTTATATAAACACATGTTCTTGGCCAAAGATCCTACGTGTATGTTATTCATATCCTCATTGGTTAAGAGGATGAAACTCCCCTCGACATATGCCTATATAATATCTGTATTTCTATGAATAAATTGAAGTATTGAGGATACATTTGACTGTGTGTTTTCTTACTTCCCGGCCGTCTGTCTACACTTTAAGTAACTGAGAATTCTTCAAGGTGGCAAAGAGAATTTACTGAGGGACCAAATTGTTATTCTTTATTAACAACATCTAAACACATCCTAAAATTACACCTATTGTGTAGTCACTTCACGAAGCTGTTGTTTTCCATCATTAATAAATTAACTACTTGAATGTTAGAAATAATACATTTGATTAACATTACTGTAAATGTAATTCATGTAAATGTAATGTACTGTATTTTTCATGAAAATCCAAATAGAACTTAGTGATTGCATATATAAAAATCCATTAACATTTTATGTAAAGTGATCGTAGCAGACTTTTAAGCAATGCAATTATAAAACACTTCAGGTACTAAACTTAAAATCAATTTAAGTGTTAGTGCTAATTAGTGTATTCATTTATATTAAGTGTACTTAAGTAGCCCAGTTGGGAAAATGTACTTATAACTATTACATTACAAATATATTTAGAATAAAATCAATTTAATTTAAACTTAGGATGACTATTTAAAAGTGTACTAACATTTAACTAGTTTTTAAATCATTCATACCACACTAATAAAAGTCCTCTATATATTTTTTGTGGTAGTACACTTTATTTCAATGTACTAAAAATCTATTTAAATATCAGTTGTATTTAGTATACTTTTACAATTGCACTGAAGTACTACTGAAGTAGAAATATACTTTTAATTATTAAGTTTTACTATTTTATTTAGCCCAAAAAATAAGAATGTACTACAAATGTACTTGCTGCTTTTCTCATCTGCTGGTCTCATGTTACTTGGAAAAAAAACCCCATTTAATTCAGCACCTTCATCAATTATGTATTAAAATATTATGAAGCTTAACATTAATTTCATAATTAGATCACTCACCTTTCTCATCTCTACTGAGTGCTGGATCTCTTGAATCTTCTTCATTCTGTTCTGGATCATCTGCTGCACATCTGTCTGTGTCTGAACCAGCTGATTCTACACACAGAGAAAAATACAGACATTTATCAATGAATTTACTTTTTCATCTTCTGACAGTTTTCAGGGTAAAGCTGCGGTCACACGAGACTTTGAGCATGTGACATTTCTTTGGAAGCTGCTGCAGTGGATGTGATATGACGTCACGCCCTGCAGCGTTTTTAAAAGCTTTTTAAAAACACATTAAAAATTCCAAAAAGTTATAAAAATGTATTTAGCACACAACCAGTGCTGCAAATATTACATGTTATAATGCTCATACAGTGCCTTACGAAAGTATTCATACCCCTTAATTTTTTTTTGTTTTATGTTGCAGGCTTGTTAACTGCTTTAAATTACACATCAATCTACTCCATACACCATAATGACAAAGCAAAAACAGAACGGTCACAACTTTGTAAATTTATTAAAAATAAAAAAATCTGAAATAAGTACATTGCATACGTTTTCATACCCCTAACTCTTAGCTGTACTTAGCTGAAGCACCTTTACAGCCTCAAATCTATTTGGGTGTGATGTGACAAGCTTTGATCATCATCATTTGGCAATTATCTACCATTCTTCTCCTCATCTCTTCACCTCTCAAGCTCTGTCATGTTGGATGGGGGCAGATGCACATTTTCAGGTTTCTCCAGAAATGTTTGATTGGGTTCAAGCTCAGGCTGTAGCTGGGCCACTCATGGACATTCAGAGTTGTCTATAAGCCACTCTTGCTGTGTGCTTAGGGTCATTGTCCTGTAGGAAGGTGAACCTTCTGCCCAGTTGGAGGTTCTGAATGCTCTGGACTAGGTTTTCATTATGGCTATCTCAATATTTTGGCGCATTGAGCTTTTCTTCTACTCTGATGAGTCCCTCAGTCCCTGCAGCTGAAAAACAGCCACACAGCATGAGGCTGCTACCAGCACACTTCACTTTTGGGATGGTACTCTGCAGGTGAGAGCTGGTTTCCTTCAAACGTGATGCTTAGAATTGAGGTTCATCAGACCAGAGAATATTGTTTCTCACAGTCTGAGGGTCCTGTAGATGCTTTTGTTGTTGTTGCTGTTTTCAAAATGTGAAAAAATGAAGGTGCATGAATACTTTTGCAAGGCACTGTAATCAGATTAGTTACTTTTTAATGGATTACATATTTTTCACACAGTGGCAGTAAATCATTCATAATTTAATGATTCTCCCTAATTATCCTTTTTTCTCTTTTAAATTGTCCTTTTTAAAAATCCTACTATGTTTCATACCATTCAGCTTTGATTATATTTATAATATTGAATGATCATGTAAATGTCATGTAAATAATTTTGCGATCCATGCTTCTGAATTTGGGGGAAAAGCACCTCTCATGCAATTAGACCATATATGAAACAAATAATTATAGAAGTTTCCAAATATAGCTGTGAAACACTATGTTTTCATCATATTGTCAGCGAATCCTTGCAGTCACAGTCACCACCATCACCTGCCAGGACAATCACCAGATCCCAATCTACTGTTCACCTTGCTGAACCAAGCCTGACTCCTCACCTGTTTACTCACCTGTGTGTTACTTACCTCTAGATTCTCCGACGTTCCCTCGATCCTGTTCACCTCCGTTCCTGTCCTTCTCCTGGCAACCTGCAAAAGACCCAACATCAGTCACAACATCTAAGAACCCTTGAATTGTTATTCTGTGTGCTTTTCTCACCTGCTATCCGCTGCCACGATCTCATCCTGCATACAAGTCAATAAAACCATCTGTTTGATCACTTACCTCTTGTCTCTGTCCCGTGTTGTGACAGAAGACTGGACCCACCATTACCACCATGGATTCCTGGCCTCTCACACCAACAGAAGTCCTGGAAGAACTGGTTAACACTCTCCGCGCCTCCCTCACGTTAGTCACCACCCCTCCATCTGCCTCTGTAAGTCCCATGGCCATTCCTGCTTCCAGCTGAGTGCGGTGGCTTCCTCCTTCAAGTGGCCCTGTTCATTGAGATGCAGCCGCAGAAATTCCCCACCAAATGTTCCTAGGTAGCATTCTTGATTTCCCTGTTAACTGGCAGAGCACCGTTATGGGCCCGTGCTATATGGAATGCCAATAGTGCCATAATTAATTTGTATGATGTTTTCACCAACCATTTCAAGGAGGTGTTTGGGGCTGCTACCGGGTTGTTGTCGGTGTCTGATCAGCTGCTGCGGCTGCGTCAGGGCGCCTCATCCACCAGTGACTACACCCTGCAGTTCCGCATGCTAGCAGCGACTAGTGGCTGGAATGAGGCTGCCCTTCTCAGTACCTACCATCAAGGGTTAAATCCTCGGATCCGTGCTGTCATGTCAATCTATGATGATTCAGTAGGATTGGAGAGCTTCATGCAGAGGGCCACACGTATCTTTCAATGCTTATCCGCCTGACGAAACCGCCCACCAGCTTGCCGCACCCGCCTTCGGTCCCCCAGTACCAGAACTCATGCAGCTGGATTCCTCTTGCCTCACTCGCGCAGAACGTGCTCGCCCCCTTGCGGCTGGACCCTATCTATACTGTGCAGCAACGGACCACTTCATCCAGAACTGCCCTGTCCGACCCCCACGCCCTGCGGTGAGTACCCTTCAACTAGAACCAGACATCTCAACTCTATCCTTGTTACCAGTACAACTACTCACCCCAAATTGTTCTGTTTCAGTTTCTGCCCTCGTCGACTCGGGCTCTTCGGGCAATTTCATATCCCAAGATCTCCTATGTCGCCTCCACCTATCCCGTAAATGCCAGGCCCTGGAGCTCCGAGTCGAGACTATACAGGGAAAACCGTTAGGGCGTGGGCGGGTGAAGCATCGAGCTCCCCCGTTGAAACTGAGAATCGGATGTCTGCACGAGGAGACCATCACCTTTCTGTCACTGGAGGGACCCACAGTGGATATCATCCTGAGATGCCCCTGGCTCACTCTCTATTCTCCGGAAGTCAGATGGGAACCGTGTGAGGTAACTCGCTGGAGCGAGTTTTGCCTGCAGAACTGTCTTTCCGCGGTCCCCAAACTGCTTACAAGTCCCATGCCGGCTCAAGTCGCTTCACATCTGACTATGTGCCGTTCCAGGATGTCTTCAGCAAGCAGGCAGCAACTCCCCTTCCACCTCATCGGCCATGGGATTGTGCCATCGACCTGCTGCATGGGGCAAAACCCCCCAAGAGTAGAGTATACCCTCTGTCGATCCCGGAGTGCAAGGCCATGGAGGACTACATCAAGGAGGCTCTCAAGCAAGGATTTATCCAACCCTCCACCTCACCTGCTGCCTCGAGCTTCTTCTTCGTGGGTAAAAAGGACACGGGCTTGAGGCCGTGCATAGATTACGTGCTCTGAACTCCCAGACTGTGAAGCTGCCATACCCACTTCCCCTGGTCCCAGCCGCCCTCGAGGAACTCCGTGGAGCACACATATTCTTCAAGTTGGACCTGCGGAGCGCGTATAACCTCGTTCATATCCGGGAAGGCGAAGAGTGGAAGACAGCTTTCATCACTCCATCTGGCCACTACGAGTACAGGGTAATGCCGTATGGCCTGGCCAACTCACCATTCGTCCGTCTTCCAAGGCTTCATGAATGAGGTGTTCCGGGAGTTCCTCCATCGCTTCATGATCGTCTACATCGATGATATCCTCATATACTCCCGGAACCTGGCTGAACATCGCCACCACGTGAAGCAGGTCCTCCAAAGGCCCCGACAACTAGAGCCCTGCACGGGCCTCAAATATAGGCCCTAGCCCGGCCCTGGCCTGAGACGCTCAGGCCCTGGCCCGGCCCGGGTCCGACAGCTCATCAGAATTCTTGGCCCGAGCCCGACTTTTTTTTTCCCCTTCTCCCAAAACAGCTTATACTACTGTTTCAGCTATTAAAATAGTTAAGTTTTGTATGTAATGTCAAAGTGATTTATATTTCGTTCCGTTTTTTTTATTAATTTAGTTTAGAAAAACGTTTGGAGCATTTTTTGTTCGTTAAATGTACTTTTTTTTTTTTTTTTTTTTTTTTGTAAATAACGACCAAGCGGCCAGCAGCAGACAGTAAGTTGATCATAGCCTATGTTTGATCAATTTAGCCTTCTCAAATCATCACGCCTTGCCTAAAAAAAAATCTATAGATATAAAACAATTCAAGCATATAACAATGTTTAAACGTTAAACCTAGATAAATGTGCGCTGTATCCAATAGTTTGTGTTGAGAGTGCAAGCTAAAGCGCGCTTTGTAGGACATGGAGGTGCCAGCACAATCACTTGCATTTTTTTCAGTGGATACACCGTCATTTTTGATCATAAAGGTAAGAGTAAGTATTATATCATTCGGAACTGTAAAGGGTCTACTTTTATTTGTGTGCACTCACAATATCAACAAAGCGTTGTGCTTTTATAAAATAAAGGATACATACAGGATGTGCTTTCTGCAATTTCGCCCAGGAGCGCTTCACAGTGATGAACCGAAACTCAGCGAATACTTGCCTCAAAAACTTGCTAAATATATCTATAGAAAGCTTTAAATTACTACTTTAAATCTAAATAATTTGAATCAAAAACAAACTCTTTTTACGGATTTTATACAATCCGTAAAGATGCATTTCTCAGGATCAGGATCGTCATCTTCATCTTTGCGACACTGACTCAGAAAACACCAATTTATTAATAAATAATTCAAATATCTCATTATTTCCCCCCCCGACACATTGAAGGTAATTACTTTTGCTGGGGCTTTGCGGCACGCTTTAGCCTATTGCGTGCATTTTTTGCTGTCATGTGCAAGGATATGTTTGCAGATTCTGTACTGCACATGACCAATTGACTCACTGTTTGTCATGTTAATCAAATCAAGACTCTTCCAAAATACAGCTTTTCTGAAGCATTGGGAACTTTTAGTAACTCCCCACGCTCCAACTTCTCCCTGATGCTGTTCATGGTCAACTGTCACCTATATGCTAATGCGTGCATATGTGCGTTGCGTATTGCATAGGCGATGTATAATATAACAATGGGATGGAATTCAGATGAACCAGGGGAAGGTAAGAGCCATCCAGAAATGGCCGCTCCCACAATCTGTGAAAGACTTGCGTTCCCACGTCACAACGGCAGACCCTTCTGGGTTCCGTTCATGATCTATTGGGCTCTGGACACCCAGGCAGCCAACGGACTCTCTTGCTCCTCCAAGCTCGGTAATGGTGGCCCAGTATGATCCAGGATGTCATCCGGTACGTCCAAAGCTGCTCTGACTGAGCCATGTCGAAGACTCCTCGTCACCTCCCCGTAGGCAAGCTTGTCCCACTGCCCATTCCATGAAGGCCCTGATCCCATATCGGGGTAGACTTCGTCACTGACCTCCCCAACTCTGATGGTAATACCTGTGTCCTGGTGGTCATTGACCGCTTTTCAAATGCGTGCAAGCTAATTCCCCTCAAGGGTCTACCAACTGCCCTAGAAATGGCGGAATGCCTCTTTAACCACGTCTTCTGGAACTACGGCCTCCCAGAGGAGGTCATCTTTGACCGAGGTCCCAAATTCATCTCTCACGTGTGGAAGGCTTTCTTCCGGTTAATGGGAGTCATGGTGAGCTTGTCCTCTGGCTACCATCCCCAGACAAAAGGGCAGACTGAGAGTAAGATCCAGGAGCTCGGACGGTACCTTCGGTCATACTGCCACGAAGATCAGCAGTGCAGAGGCATAAAACCTTCGCAGATGTTCATCGCACCGCTACTCCCACCTACCAACCTGGAGACATGGTATGGCTGTCCACCCGGGATCTGCGCCTCTGCCTGCCTTGTAGAAATCTGAGTCCCCGCTACATTGGTCCGTTCCCCATACAGAGGCAGATCAACGAGGTCACCTACCAGCTTCAACTCCCTGCAAGGTACCACATTCATCCTACTTTCCACATGTCACTCCTTAAACCCTTCTCTCCCTCTGCACCAGATCCCACCGAGCTGGATGCACCTCCTCCTCCAGAGATCCTGGACCACCCCTCCATCTACCATGTCCGGGACATTCTGGATTCGCGGCAACGGGGTGGCCGGCAAGAGTACCTCGTGGACTGGGAGGGGTACGGACCGGAGGAAAGATCCTGGGCTAGATGCCACGCTCTTGGAGGAGTTCCACCGTACCCATCCAGGTCATCCCGCACCCAGAGGCCGGGGCCGCCCTCGTCGCCATGTTAGGGTGTCAGGAGCCACCCCTGGAGGAGGGGGTCATGTCAGCGAATCCTTGCAGTCACAGTCACCTGCCAGGACAATCACCAGATCCCAATCTCCGGAATTCTGATCACCCACACCTGTAGCCACTAATCAAGCCTCTTATATCTCTGCACTCCAGTCATTCCCTCACTGTCCGGTCTACAGTTCACCTCGCTGAACCAAGCCTGACTCCTCATCTGTTTACTCACCTGTGTTACTTACCTCTAGATTCTCCGATGTTCCCTCGATCCTGTTCACCACCGTTCCTGTCCTTCTCCCGGCAACCTGCGAAAGACCCAGCATCAGTCACAACCGCTAAGAACCCTCGAACTGTTATTCTGTGTGCTTTTCTCACCTGCTATCCGCTGCCACGATCTCATCCTGCATACAATTCAATAAAACCATCTGTTTGATCACTTACCTCTTGTCTCTGGCCTGTTTTGTGAAACATATGTAGGGATTTTCAGTAACTGTTGATTCTGGAGATCTTTACAAAAATATTTCAAACCTGTAAGACTTTGGGCATCATGCTGTTCTCATGTTTATTAATGTTTCTTCATATAATGCAGGTATTCCCAAACATGTTTGTCAGCAAAACCCCTTTGACATGAAGTATTTACTTAAAATGTATCTGAGGAAGTGAATATTGCAATAATGTAACACATTTGCATGTTTACAATTTGATGACACTTAATGGTCACATTGACATGCAGATAAACAAATTAAATATTTCTATTTTAAGTGTTTAAATTTATTTTATGATTTCATTAATTATTAGCTTTTATCAACTCACAAACCCACTGCAGTTCTTACATTAAGCCCAGTTTGGGAAACCCTGCTGTAATGTTTGATGCATTTTATGATGTTGAAATCAAAAAGTGGAATATGTTTTCTTTCTCTTTGCTTTTTTTTATATATATATATATAAATATGGTAAGTTTAAACTAACCCTAATCTAAAAAGTATGTTTTACCTAAAATTAGTAACCATTATATTACTAATTACAATTTTCAT